CGAGGGTTGTACACCTGTTAGTGTTTGCTCGTATATTCATACCAAAATTCGACATTTTAGCTGTGGTAATATACAAACCTTGTGATAGTGTACAGTTTGAGGCATTAAAAACATCGCAGCACTATTCTGTACACTTCATACTATCAAACAGCCTCCGTTGCCTAGTGGAAAGATCGTTTGCCCGGAGAGCGGCAGCTTCCCGAGACAAGGGAGTTAACTGACTATATATAAAAATGGACTTTTACAGTCAGTTAACTCCCTTGCCTCAAGAAATGGGAGGGCGGTTGGTCGCTGTCATCTTCCCGAGGCAAGCGAGTTAACTGACTTAGAAAGTCCAGTCTCCACCCTTGCCGACCTAGGCTGGAATTCCTGGACTCGATCGTAGCGCCACAAGTGGCTATTACGAGTTATGTTCCTTCTATGCCTCTCCTATTGACCAATCAGATTCAACCTCTCGTATCACTTGCATTTGTTTCAAACAAAACGGTGGCGCCCAGTCAAGACGATCTGATCGATAATCAAGATCTATATTGTGATAAAACGAGTCTTACATCGCAAAGTGCATCAAATCACGTGAGCACCTTGATGAAAAGATTTAGAAAATATCTGTTGACAACGAGTTAGCGGTGCACATGCTTTGCAAATCCTGCAGTCGACCGAAATCTGCATGACACTCTACGAACCGGATTTCGATTTCGGTGCGCGATTTTGATTAGACTGCATAGACTCTTTAGTCCAGCCAAAATCTTAACTCCATAATACCAGCCTAGTTCGGCACGGGTGGAAACTGGACTTTTATAGTCAGTTAACTCACTTGCCTCGGGAAGATAGTCGCTGTAAGTAACCATAAAAACGTTGCACCCTTTTGTTTCCTTTTTGTATGTACGTCTCAACAAAACGTCCTTGACATGCATTCTTACTTTTTTTGTGTTTTTCACAGTGACAGGTTTCGCCCTTTCCCGAAGTAGAGCTTTTGATGGTGATGATCCACGATGGCAACTGAAGGCGAAAGCAGGGCAGTTACTTTCTCTCGCGCATCTGTTGACTTCTCGTCAGGTGCGAGATGTACGAGACGTCGTTCTACGTTTCGAGGTATGGCTCGGTCTGTGCTAGAAATATTAACATTACACAGGGGCAGTAAACCAGATCAGACTTCTGCTCTTCCAAAACGAGGGCATGAAAATACGTTCAGAATGAATCCCGTTGAAGGGCATGGCTTTTCTGTGAATGTCGTTGAACGACAGGTCAAGCGAATTCTTGAAGATCATTTAGCAGACCGGAAGTACGACGCCTCGGAAGCCAGTGCCGTAACTGGACGAATCACGGACCAGATTAAGGCGGTCACCAAAAATTGCAATTTTCCACGATATAAAATTGTTTGTCAAGTGATATTAGGGCAAAATTGCGGCCAAGATATACAAATTGCTAGCAGATCGATATGGGACTCAAAAACCGACAATTGCGCATGCGTCACGTACAAGAACTCTTCCTTATTTGCCGTGGCGTCAGTGTATGGCGTATATTTTGAATGATAAAAGTCACCGTTCCAGAAGACATGATGTGTTGTTTTTGTAATAAATATATTTTGTATTGCGATGTTTTATTTAGGTTTCTTAGCCTAACAAAAGACCAAGTCTAGGTTTAAAAGAGTTAAAGCACACCTGGGGGACTGGTCAATGATGGTGGGAGGGTGGTGTGGTGTGACTCCCCATTTATGGGAACATTTCATGCAATTCCCCCACCCTCAAATACATGTAAAAGTTATCATGAGATCCCACCCCCACCCCCTTTCTGTAGAAGAAATAATTTCTAATCTGTAAATAATGTTCATATTTATTACTGAAATTATCTGAAAAAAATAGAACTGCCATTTTTTTCGTCGCACGCCCCCCCCCCCCCCCCCCCCCACACACACACACACACACACATTCCTACACACAAACACCCACCCACCCCACCCCCATTGTAAATGACCTTTACCTAAAGGCTTTGTTCCGATTGTGTGTCGACCTTCGTTCATGTGGACCCTTGTACCTCATGCTTCTAATTAGCGTGCGCTCGAAATATGTGTTAAATTTCATATCAAAGTTTGATATTTAACTGTGGTAATACATAATCTTGAAATAGTATACAGACTGGGGCATTAAGAACACTGACATTCTTAAGTACACTGTCAATCAGCCTCCTGGTCTAGTGGAAAGAGCGTCTGCCGGAGAGCGATTGGTCGCTGGTTCGATCCCCTGGCCGCGACATTCCAAAATACGTGAAAATATGTTGTTACCCTGCCTGACGCTCGGCATTAGAGGGCTAAAACAAGGACTGGTCGGCTCAGAGTCGATGTAATGTGTCTGAGTGGAGTATCCAAGTTCCAGTGCGGCATGGTGTCTATGTTATTTTGGGTGTCACCTGATAATCTTGGTGTTCACTACAAAGAGTACATCGTAAGAGGCGACTAGCTGGATCGGCTGGTCAGACTCGCTGACTTGGTTGATGCATGTCATCGGTCCCAATTACGTGGATCGATGCTCATGGTGTCAATCACTGGATTGTCTGGTCCAAACGGGATTATTTACAGACCGCCGAGGGGCGGTCGGGTAGCCTAGTGGTTAAAGCGTTCGCTCGTCACACCGAAGACCCGGGTTCGATTCCCGACATGGGTATTGCTGGAATATTGCTAAAAGCGGCGTAAAACCATACTCACTCATTCACAGACCGCCGTCATATATCCGGAATATTGCTGAGTGCGGCGTTAAACAACAAGAAAAAAAACAAAAACAAAAAAACAAAGGGATGTAATTTCGAATTCTTTGTTAACTTTGCTCTAGAAGCCATTTGAGCTGATATTATCAGATCCTGATATTATCAGATCCTCTTTGCGGCATGGTATCTAAGTGGGCTAGCCCTAGCCTATTAAAAGTCCGGAAAGTACACGTAGCTTATATACGGTAATTTAAATAATCTTGAACGCACGTGTGTTAAACCCTATTACATCTCACCTCACACACGGGGCGTGGGTAGCCTTGTGGTTAAAGGGTTCTGGCGACACGTCGAAGGTCCGGGTTCGATTCCCCACATGGGTATGTTGTGTGAAGCCCATTTCGCCGTCATATTGCGGGAATATTACTAAAAGAGACGTAAAACCATATTCACTCACCCCACATACACTGTCACGACACAGTGACTTGATCTGTATCACACACGACGCCCTATGGAGATTCCGAGGAATCCACAGCCCCCCCCAAAATATTCCAGCAGATACAGGAAAAAACATTGCCTCAGGTTTCACAAAACTTTAAAAAGAATTTTGTAAAGCAATTGTGTATACAGTGACAGAAACTATATACGGGGTAGTCTCTAAATATAATGCACTGAACCTCCAAAACATTTATAATTAGGTGAGTGAGTTTTTAACAGTATTCCAGTTATATCACGGCGTGTCAGCTTAATGTGGGAGAAAAGCCCGAAGTGATGCAGGTCTCGGACGTTTACCACTTCGGTGAAACCCACGAGCACGGGTATGGTGCTGACAAACGTAGAAACATAATCAGGGCGAACCGGGATTCGAACCCACAATCATAGGTTCCTTGCCTGCCCAAGGGACGCAACTCTGCACAGCGAATCGCGGCGCGTTATACGACTGGGTCCCCCGTACTCCCCAAAACATTTATAAACCGATAAGGATTAACACTGACGTAGTACTGTCTTATGTCAAGGAGACTTAACTTGTTACCCATCAGTTTTCAACACAATAATATATGGCGTGTCTTCATTTGCTGCGGGGACCGCCTCCGGTCCGGAAGGTCCGGGGTTCGATCCCCGGCGGCGTCATACCAAAAGACGTTAAAAGATGGTACTTGTTGTTACCCTGTCTGGCGCTCGGCATTAAGGGGCTAAAACAAGGACTGGTCGGCTCGGAGTCAGTATACTGTGTCTGAGTGGGGTATTCATGTTAAACTGCGGCATGGTATCTCAGTGAGCTAGCACTACAAATCGGCATCAGTCCGGACTAGTACAAGCAGACACACAAACACACACACGTACATGCACGTCACTATATAAGTACAATAATCTTGGACGCGACGTTAAACCCCATTTCACCTCACCTCATTTGCTACGAAATTAATAAGTGACATTACAATTTGTTTTAGATACCACCGAATGGCTACGAATGCTCTCCATGAATCAGTTCACATTTCGTGTTACAATTGAATATACATCACATTAATCTTTCATATCCATATTATGAAAACAAACAGTAGACTAATTAGTATCCGTTTCTTAATATCCAATTCTCTTATAAATTTACAAATATTTAAACACGGAAAAATCATTGACATGATAAAATGTATTTGTTGATATTGTTTTTTGGCTATTAAGATATCGCTTCCTCCATTATTTATATCAATAAAGTAATTATTTCGTATAGTACAGAATAACCAATTAGGCATTTTCAGTAATTAACAGTTTATGAGCATCACGTATTTATTCTTCATCCCATGCTCCTCGGGGGCACGGGTGGCCCAGTCGTCTAGGGCGCCGCGATTCACTGTGCAGAGTTGCGTCCTTTGGGCATGCCAGAAATCTATGATTGTGGGTTCGAATCCCGGTTCGCCCCGATTATGTTTCTAGGTTTGTCAGCACCATACCCGTGCTCGTGGGTTTCACCGAAGTGGTAAACGTCTGACACCTGCATCACTTCGAGCTTTTCTCCCACATTTAGCTGACACGCCGCGATATAACTGGAATACTGTTAAAAGCGGCGTTAAAACCAACTCACTCACTCACGCACCCATGCTCCTCACAGCGATATGCCGTTCGCGGAGCTCTGTATACCGAGAGTGTAACGAAGATGTCACGCGCTTGGAAGGAGCGGTCTCCGTACGAAGGGGGGCAACTCTCATTATTAACATGAGCACATGCGAAGGCGTCGCAAAACGGAGATGAGGGTTGTTGTGGGTTCGTGCTGAGACGATTCAATATAACGTATGGTTTGGAATACTTTGGATAGATACTATTTTGTATACTCGGTGTCACAACACACCATGCTGTCACTGCGTATGGCGTAATTCGTCATTCAGATCAGACAATGCAGCCTTTGTTTTGATCTGTGTACTCCTATGCCGGGCCCCATATGCGCGTCGTCAACTTGCGCCAAGCTTATAGTGTTATATGAGAGACGGTGCTCAGCTTACGTCTCTCACATCACAATTGGCGCAAGTTGACGGCGCGCATAGGGAGCCGGGAACCAGCATATTTCACTCGCAAGCTGCTCCCTCCGAAATTTAAACCGACACTGCATAGGCTACATGGTACGAATTAACGTAACGTCAATATGTTTACATGTGTTATATTAAGACATGTTATATATGCTATCTACGGTGTAATCATATTGTAGGGACTTAATTAATTGTGTTTACGGAAGTAAGTGACATCACAACCACATGAACTCGATGATAGCGTGTATAGCATAATACATTCGTATAGAAAAAACATTCACACCCCTCTATATACATATAGACTATATATTTAGAGGGGAGTGAATTTTTTTCTGTACGAATATATTATTCTATACACGCTATCATCGAGTTCATGTGATCACAACCTCCTTGTTTGATCATGGGCGACCATTTCACCACTTCTATGGTGGATGGATTTGTTTTAATTATAGCTGGGACAGGTACTCGGGTCGGGTGGGTCCTGAGTAGGACTCGGGTACCCACAGTACTACCCAGACCCGTGGTTAGTCATGTGATATATTGTTTAATAGCAAAAAGTACCTAGAACTTCAACTTTTGCACTATAAGTGACAAATCTTCGCATTTATTTCTGACTATGCACGCATTCTTTTTTACTTTATATGTTTGAAAAGAGACAAAACTTCAGTCAACTTCAGTGTATGCATGACCAGATCCTTTTATTTGAGTACGGTATCTAAATACATTTTGCCAGGGCTACAGTCAAACTATTCCCAATCGGACATTTGTACAGTCTATCCCTTCAGAACAATAGCAGGTACCCTGGGTAGGGTAGGGTAGGGTAATACTCGGGTGGGTACCCGGGTGGTAAATTTGGACTCGTCCCAGCCCTAGTTTTAATGGAACTAATTTTGACTCTGGTTTTACAGAAACCAACAACATAGTGACTAGAACTAGAAGTCCTTAGAAAATGGGTCACACTTACACTCTACACACCTCGAACAGCTTCGATTTATTTCATTAATACTGAGGATTCACAATAAACTTTGATATATTGTCCTTTGTAAGCTTTTGTAGTAGATAATTCAAAGTGTGGACTAAGGTAAGATAGTAGAATGTCTGGTACTTACGAGTACTTGAGTATTACATGTAAGCAAAGTTGTTAATTTTTAAGTTTGGCATTGAATGTTGATTGATTGTTTAGTTATTTCTAATTGATGGCATTTATTTTTCCATTATCTTTCAGACTCCACGCCAGTGATACTATATGTGGTTTGACATACGTACATGGTCGAAAAACAGGGTGACTTAATCATTTTCCAGGTATACATACACAGTGTATGTGAATATAGTTCACAAATTAGTGGTGTCATTATACTTATTTTGTATGTTCACCAGTGATGCCATATGTGAGGTGCCCCTCTAATTCCATATTGTCTTCCAAATCACCACATGCGGGTGAATTTGTATCTATCTGCTGGACAAGTACTCAAATTTAAATTCAAACAAACTTTATTTCGCTTCAGGTCATGACATGAAATACAAAAATACAGTAAACTGCGTTTATAACGAAAACACTCATAACAAACTGACAGTTATAAAAAAAACTGTTTTTTTGGTTCTGGCCATTTGCTGGTATAAGCTGTATATATGCTTATAACAAACTACAGTTAAAAACGAAATAGAATTAGAAGTCCATTTTAGTTTGTTATAACTGTAGTTTAGTGTATAGATGTCTCTGGACACTTGATGGAGGAGGTAGTGTGCATTTGGTTCACATAATCATGATAATCATGATAATACCAATGGCTAACATTCAGTGTGACATATATTAACACATGGCTAGTCCATTTAGAATTTTATTTTGTAAGAATTGTCACAGGACGAAGATATAAAACCAAGTTATTCTTGGCCCAATATCATTTACATACTCATATATAATACTCGTATAGCATTCTAAGATGGCCCATATCAATAATCATAGTGACAGGACAGTAAGTGGTTCACTGAAGCACCAGGCAAATCATTCAAAAATAGACCTATTCTTATGGATTTAAGTATAGTTTTGTTATGACAACATTTTAATACAGTCATAAGTACCTGGTATTGATCGGCATACAGATTTATGGTTGTGAGATCAAATACAACTACCGTTATCGACGTAATAAGTGCCCCGCTCTAATAAGCGCTCACGGTGACATTTGCTAAGATATTGGCTAGTGAACAATCCCAATTAGCACCCCTTCCGATTGATCAATGTACACAAGACTTATTTATTCGCGTATAATATGCACTCATGTGTTATGTGCACCCTTAATTGTGGGCATTTAGTTCTGGAAAGATATATCTGTCGTACATAAACATTTCAGGCTGTCAGCATGAACCACGAAATTTATCTTTCAACTCTGTTTTTTTCAACAAAATAATATTCTAATAAGAGCCCCCTATTTCTAATTTTGAGAGCGCCCTGGGTGCTTATTACGTCGAATACGGTATGTGTGAAGAGAAAACCAGGGTGTAGTGAAAAGTAATTGAAGCGTCTGACCAATCACCAAGTTACTTAAAGTATCAACGATTCATTGCCATACTTACTGTTTCACATCTTTATGTCATTTTGAAATCTTGCTAAGTTATGTAGTTTCCTTGGGTTGTCAGTATTCATCAGGTCTTTCAAAGTAATTAAAGTGCACATATTTCCTCCTCTAAGAATGAGAGTAAGGACAAATTAGAATATAGTGTTATTCATCTCCCAGGTCATTTTATATATATTATTACATAATAAACAAATTCTGTTATTGTGGGGACATTCGTCCATCTACCAACTTCTATTGGGAGTCTGTGGTTACAAGTTCTAAGTGGAACAAGTGGCATGGATAACTGTCTTGGCAGGTCAAATAAATACTATTAAAGCAAACCATATTCTTTGAAGAGCCTGTAAAATATACCTTGAGGCGTTTTAGTGACTGCATTCCTCTGATCTGAATTGTTTGATGTTCAGTTGAGTTTAACCATGGTAAATTATGAAAGCCTTGTTGATGCAGTATATAGCTAAGACTATCTAATGAAAGACCAGTGAAGACCCAGGAGAATAAATCTTCAGCAACCCATGCTTGTCGTAAGAGGCGACTAACCAGATCGGGTGCTCAGGCTCGCTAACTTGGTTGATGCATGTCATTGTATCTCAATTGCGTGGATTGATGCTCATGATGACAATCACTGGATTGTCTGGTCCAGATGCTATTATTTACAGACAGCCGTTAAATAGCTGGAATACTGCTGAGTGCAGAGTTAGACAACAAGCAAACAAACAAAAATCTAATGAAGTATGGATATGTTCAATCCAATCATATGTATATTTAGTATCATATAAAAGTACCTTATACATCAATACACATATTTGTAAGTTACTATCTAAGCTGAATAACCCATGTGATAGGTAGCCTTCACAGTGCCCCAAAGAGCATATACTGGGGGGGTACTTTTTATCCAGTAGAGGCTGCCGTCTTAGTAGGAATACAATACCAAAGTGGTAAGTCTCTCGGGGTCGAAGTATACTCGTTCAGGTCCCCAGCTGGAAATTTCCACACGACATCGTGTAAAAATCATTTTATACCAATACTGTATAAAATATTTTTTTCACTTACTTCCTGTATGATGACCAAAGGTGTGTAAATGCAACATAGTTCATTGTCATTCCTTCAAACACACACACACGTAGACCAGCTTTCTGTGTGAAATGCCCCTATGTGTAGTGTGCAGCTTGTGCTGGTCGTAAGAGGTGAGTTTTAGATTGGGCAGTCAGGCTTGGCATTTCAACTTACTCCAATGGCATGGGGCATTGCTCATACTATCAATCACTGGATTATCTGATATCAGACTCAATTATTCACAGGCCGCAATCAAATAGCTGGAATATTGCTGATCGTTAAATAAAACACACACACAAAACTATGAAAATCTAACAAAATCCACAATGTAGAGGCGGAAGACCCGTGTGATGAAGCGTTTAACATGTATTTTCAGAATGGACCCATTCCCCGTGTGTGTGGTGTGCAGCACGTCCTTCAGGTACAGAGGACCACAGCCACACCTGCTTCCCTGTCTACATGCTGTATGCCAGGACTGTCTCAAGTCACCTGAAGTCACAACTCTGGACTGCTCTGTCTGCTCGAAGAGTCATGACATATGTGACACGGATAGACAGTTCCCCGTTGATGAGGTCGTCCTCGCTGAGGTCCTCCACCTGACCTCCAAACACCGACCAGCAGAATTCCTGTGTACCAATGATGAGGATGGGAACCAGGCTGTGTGTTGGTGTGGGGAGTGTGGGGACTTCCTCTGTGAACACTGCCAGGTATTGCACACAGGAATCAAAGCTACCCGGAGCCATAAGACGACACTGATCCCTGATCTGTCGGAAAAAGTGAAAGGATCGCAATTGGAATGTGAGGAGCACGGCCATTGCCTGGACATCTTTGATGGCGACTGTGATTGCTTCATCTGCTTCCGATGTTTCTACGAAGAGCATGTTGGTCACAGTACCACTAAAGCCGATACGTTTCTTACGACAGAAGAACAGCAGTTGAATAATTGTTTGAAATCTGCTACATGTAAAAAAGAGAAGTTAGACTCAGCAACAAATGATGTGAATGAGCAAACACGGATTATTCAACAGAAAGCTGCTTCTCTGAAGGAAACAGTCCAACACACCTTTGCTGAGTTGAAAACATTGATCGATCAGCGAGAGAAAGAGGTGTTTGTTGAGCTAGATCAGCTTCTGGACTCCATGAGGAACATCAATGACAGTCGACGTCCTATCTTGAAGTCATCAGAGACTATTTGTCAGTCACTCCTTGACTACATCAACAAGACTCTCCACTATGCCTCACCTTCCCACCTCCACAAACTGAAGAGTTCCATCACACAGGCGTTTGAGACCTGCCTAAAACTTGACGTTCCTCTTGTTCACAAACACGAGTCGTCTGTCCTGTTTTCAAAACAGGGGTTGCAGGATATGAAGTCCCTAATATCATGCTTCGGAAGTTTCTTAGCTCCTGTCAAGGACAAGCATCAAGTGACTGAGTTGTCTTCATTCTATTCAGGTATTTCATGTTTTGTTTGTTTGTTTGTTGTTTAACGCCACACTCAGCAATATTCCAGCTATACAATGGCGGTCTGTAAATAATTGAATCTGGACCAGACAATCCAGTGATTAACATCACGCAATTGATCCATGCAATTGGGATACGATGACATGCATGAACCAAGTCAGCGAGCCTGACCACCCGATCCCGTTAGTTGCCTCTTGCCTCTTATTTAGTAGTCACAGTTTGTAGTTGCATGTCATTTTTGTTAGGTGACAAACATGGGGTACCTTGGACCCACTCTGCCCTCCATAAATCTATTGATAGAAAATGTGGAGAGTTGTTAGATTCTGGACACACCAATTTCAGGCGATATGCCACTAATTCAATATTTTGGCATGGTCTTGTTTTTCTACAGATCGTCAGCTGTGCCTTGAATCTACAATTGCCAAACTCAGGGACCAGAAAATAAGACTTGTGAAGGTATTGTTCATTTGCATTAAACTATTTCTTGTCCACGTGTATCAGTCACCCACGTGTTTCACCCACGTGTATCGACCTCCATGTATCGACCTCCATGGTCTAGTGCTAGAGCTTCCACCCGGATTGCGGAAGGTCCGGGGTTCGATCCCCAGCCGCATCATACCTAAAGACGTTAAAAGATGGTACTTATTGTTACCCTGCCTGGTACTTGTCATTAAGGGGCTAAAACAAGGACTGGTCAGTATACTGTGTCTCAGTGGGGTATTCATGTTAAACCTCGGCATGGTATCTCAGTGGGCTAGCACTGTCAATGGGCATTAGTCCGTGCGCACAAGCAGCAATAATCTTGGACGCAATGTTAAGCCCCATTTCACCTCACCCACCCACATGCTTCAGTCATCCACGTGCATTGGTCACCCTCGAGTATCCACCCATGTGTATCAGTTATTTACATGTATCATTCGTACATGTGCATCAGTCGTCAGTCATCAAGGTGTATCAGTTACTGACCTAGATTCACATGCTTACATTATATTGCCATTGTAGTGGATCGCTGCAGTATTTTTTCATGTTACACATCTGTTAAATTACCAACTGAATGTGACACTACATGGAATGCATTGTATAAATCGTAGACCAAGTAATATTTGTGTTCCAACATTTGTCTCCAGGAAAATGGTGAACTGAAGAATGAGGTCCGAGAAAGTGTCCAAGTTGTCAATGACCTCGACGAAGATGTATCCAGGCTGACCTCATTCGTGGTGCAGATGGATCCAGATGGTGAGTTGAACAGTATCTGATTGAAGCCGAATTCAAAGGTGCCCGCCCACTTGTGTTTGTTGGTAGTCTTGGTGGGAAAATAAATAAAAGTGTTCCTTGCTCGTCACTATTGTTTTCCAGAAGAAAGAAGGTCTTACCTCCCCCTTTACTTTGGGGAAAGATGTGTGGAAAGATTTCAGTGGGTTAGCACCATAAGAGCAGCAACAGTCTCTAATTGTACAATCAACCACACAAACATGCATGCAGGTAGCTAAATAGGTACAATTATCTTCACCCGACCTTAAGTGTGGTCCCACCTCACCTCTGGATTGCACTTTGCACACAGACCCATGAAGATCCGGGTTAGGTCTTCGGCAACAGGGGGCACTGGTGGCCCAATCGTCTAAGGCGCCGCGATTCGCTGTGCAGAGTTGCATCCCTTGGGCACGCCAGAAACCTATGATTGTGGGTTCGAATCTGGGTTCGCCCCGATTATGTTTCTAGGTTTGTCAGCACCATACCCGTGCTCGTGGGTTTCACTGAAGTGGTAAACGTCTGAGACCTGCATCACTTCGGGCTTTCCTCCCACATTAAGCTGACACGCCGCAATATAACTGGAATACTGTTAAAAGTGGCGTTAAGCCCAACTCACTCACTCACTCTTCGGCAACAAATGCTTGTTGTAAGAGGCGAGTAACGGGACCGGGTGGTCAGGCTCGATGACTTGGTTGATGCATTTCATTGTATCCCATTTGTGTGGATTGATGCTCATGATATCAATCACTGGATTGTTTGGTCCAGACTGATTATTTACAGACTGCCGACATATACCTGGGATATTGCTGGGTGCGGCGTGAAACTACAAACAAACAAAACAAAACACAAAAGCACACAATATATATTTTGCTCTATCTTGGGATATTTTTCAGGAGGACACAGGGGCATGTTTCTTCATGTTGTGAGGGGAATCCAGAATGAAATTCACTTTATGAAGTGTAAGTACTTAGAGAAATACTTACGTGAAACCTCATTGATCCAGACGGTACCATTCCTAGTGTAATCTACATAATTAAATTTCGGATTAACTGGTCTTGGTTGCGAAATAACTTTGTTATGAATTTTACATGATCCCAACTAGATCGTCTGGAATGTGGAGTTTCCAGGTTAAAAGGCTGGACCAACTAGGTATCTCTGTAACTATCACAGATTTAAGTATTTATATGGAGGTGACTGCCTCTGTGGTCTGGTGGATGCCCAGAGAGCTGAAGGTTGGTGCATCCATCCCAGCTTGCGTCACCAAAAGCTGTTACAAGATGGTACTTGTTGTTCCCAGGGGCCTGGCGCTCTGCATTAAGATGTTGAAACAAGATGTCAGTCTGCTGTGTCTGCGTGAGGTATCCATGTTAAGCTGTTGCAGGGTATATACTGTATTCGACGTAATAAACGCACCGCTCTAATAAGCGCCTACGGCGACATTTGCTACTATATTGGCTTGTGAACAATCCCAAATTGGCACCCATTCCGATTGGTCAATGTACACAAGACACTTATGCGCATATAAAACACACTCATGTCTTATATGCACTCTTTATTATGGGCAATTAAATTCTGGGAAAATATATCTGTCGTATATAAACATTTCAGGCTGTCAGCATAAACCACGAAATTTATCTTTCAACTCTGTTTTTTTCCACCAAAATAATATTCTAATAAGAGCCCCCTATTTCTAATTTTGAGAGCGCCCTGGGCGCTTTTTTCGTCGAATATGGTAAGTGGAATAATCGTTAAACCAACCTACCATCGTACCGCGTCGTTCCTCACAATATCGGTCACGAGATTGTCTGTCCACACTAGGTAATTAACAGACAGGCATCCTACAGCTGGGATATTGCTGAATGCCGTGTTAAACATTAACCACATGCACACAAATACATGGCATGCACAAACATAATCAATATATTGATAATGCAGGTCCGAAGATGATGTTCGACACGGGAAGAGTGTCCACGAACGGGGTACACATCAATGACAAAGGTGTCCTCGTCAATCATGAGAAGCCAGGAGGCGGGCGACCATCTGACTGGACAAGGAAGAGATTCCAGAACTACCATGGTACCAGCAGTGCCTTCCCACTGCCCTCTAGTGGCCTGGTGTACTGGGAGGTGGAGGCGTTGGTAGAACTGGACAAGCCACTGGGTGGCCGGAGTCTGATATTGGAGGTGGGCGTGTGTGGAGAGGAGGCCATGGACAATGCTCCCTTTGTCGGTGGACAACCCAACTCGTGTTGCCTCAGCTTGGCACACAACGATCTTGACAACACGGTTGGTTTGAATATAATGCAGAATGGTCAGTTTCAGGTTTTCATGCAAAATAGGCTAGACAATAAGGCTGGTGTGTTTGAGAAGCTGAAGTATGGAGTCTTGATCAGTGTGGACAGAAGGACTGTCAACTTCATCGACATCAACCGCCAGAGGATGTGGGCGGCTTGTTGTCTGGTCGGTTTAAAGCACAGTGCGAGGATGTGGCCTGTGTTTGGTGTTTTTTCCGGCTCCACCAGAGTGGCCATGAGGCTTGTTAGTGGGGGTGATGTGCAGATGGAGGTCTGGAAAAAGACGCTGATCGGGCAAACCCAATCCTATTATAACTGAATGTAATTCTTGTAGACACACATGTGTTTGTATACACTACTTTCCTCCTGTGAAACCTAGAAACATAATCGGGCGAATAGGGATTCAAACCCACAACCATAGGTTTCTGGTGTGCCCTATTCTGCACAGTGAATTGCTGCGCCTTAGACGACTGGGACACCCGTGCCCCCTGGGCTCGATAGAAACTTATCGTTGGTTCGAATCCCCACCTGTTTCTGTCTGTGAGCACCATACCTGTTCTGTTTGGTGTCAGCAAAGTGATAAACGTCTTAGACATGCATTACTTCGGGCTTTTCTACCACATTAAGCTGACAAACCGTGATATAGCTTGAATAGTGTTGTGAAGCAGCGTTTAACCCAACTCACTCACTCACATAAGGCCAATCGTAAGGCCTATTTTTAATCGGCTAATGAAATGAGGCCTTTTCTGTAGCTGGAGTTTGTGCGAACCCTCCCAATGTCCGAGACTGAAGCAATGTGTGGGGTGGATGGCCTGAAGGCAGCAGGTGGTTCCATGATGAATCAATAAATGAAACCAGAGACCATATACGGATGGTCTCTGATGAAACTAATTTGCTTTACGGACACGTAGAGGCTGCTAACCAGAGTACCGCACCCAGAAGGTATGGGCAACCTTGGGCAATCAAAGTATGAGGTAAATGAGTTAACACTGGTCAATCAATTAACTTGGGGTAAGCCAACACGGGTTCACTTTGGTCGTCCAGGGTTTTCAAATCGAGGTGATGGAGGACATGGTGTATACAAACCCCCCAAGTACTGACATTGACCTCAACCACAGGGAAGCTCAACAGCCATTTACCTGACTTTGAAATGGTAACATACAGGAATGACTACAACGCGATTTGCTGGAGACATGTGGCATTAAGTGAGTGAGTTTTGTTTTACGCCAATATTCCAGCAATATCACGAGGGGGACAACTGAAATGGGCTATACACATGTTGGGAATCGAACCTGGGTCTTAACCACAAGGCTACCCGACCACACCTGTGGCATTAAGGCGTTGAAGAACTGTTACATAATTTTAACTTTGGTAGAACATTCTTCTTTATCAATTTTGAAAATCATTAAATGAGATCTCTTACACTGTTATGACGCTTCTCTGCGTTAAGAGGAAGTCGCGACAGGTGAAGTTTCGAGTTGGACAGTCAACGTGGAGGTTTCTAAATTCCGGGGCTACTATGGAGGGTATATCTGTGTTTTGGTGTCTCCCTTGGCAGAGATGGACATTTCCGAATCGAGGCCAAATTGTTTTAGAATGCTGACATCTGATGTCTAAAGAACACACGCATCTTTCATTATTTTGATCGGGCAGTCGACGTTTGCTCAGTGTTGACCAGACGCGACCTTCTATAGAGGTGTCATCAGATCTTGACTCTTGGGAGTAAACGTTCTGATTTTGATGAGATTGTGTGGGTTCGAATTCCCGAGTCGCCCTGAGTCTTGTTTTGTCAGCACTTTACCTGTATCCCTGGTTTTGCGGAAGCCTTGTGGTAAGGTGAGCGTATGGTTTGCTGATAACTTGAGTTCTATTCCAAACATGGATACACTGTGAGGTCTCCCCTGCATGGTAGGCTGAAAGAGGTTGGCAGCTCTACTCTTCAACGTAACTTGGACCAGCTTCACAAAACGGCTGTAGTAGTACGCATGGAGTATCCATCCCTATGTTGATGCATACATATGGGAGTTCGGACTAAGATCGCTTTGTGAAACGGGACCCAATCCACTATAGCATGTTTAACTGTTCTCTGTACATTTTGTAGACATGTCCATCAAAGAACAAGTTTTGTTTGAAACTTGTTGGTTTTTATTGTCATCTTTATGTTTTTATGTACTGTATTAAAGGCGTCCATCTGCTGCGCTGTTCCATAAAGGTGTGCCCTTATGTTGTGGTCGTCCTTTATGTTTTGTAGTAGTATATGTTTTTTAAAGATAAGTTGTGTTATGGTCTCTCTCACTCTTCTTTGCATATAGGTAGTTAAACATATACTATTTGCTAAAGCAGACAATTCGTAGAAATATATGTATAATACAATACTGAAACCATCTTAACGCTGTGATGGATAGAGCTCTAGGGTCGTTTGACAACGTTAGAGGCGATAAAATTGTTGCATGAAACATCGGACGGAAAAAGTGAGTGAGTGAGTGAGTAGGGTTCCACACCGCTTTTAACAGTATTCCAGTTATGTCACGGTGTGTTAGCTTAATGTGGGAGGAAAGCCGGAAGTGATGCAGGTCTCAGACGTTTACCACTTTGGTGAAACCCATGAGCAAACCTAGATACATAATCGGGGCGAACCGGGATTCGAACCCACAATCATAGGTTTCTGGCGTACTCAAGGGACGCAACTCTGCACAGCGAATCGCGGCTCCTTAGACGACTGGGCCACCCCTGCCCCCTTGGACGGAAGTAAAACAAAGAACAGTTATGAATAACTAATTGTGTGTACACTTGTCTACTCTTTAATATACAACTAGTACCTATCAATTTTTCATCAGTGAAATTCAATTTATATATTCATACAAAGCAACCGTCCATGGTGGTCTCGTGGATAGAGCGTCTGCCCGGAGTGTGGAAGGTCGGTCGATCCCCGGCAGTGTCCAACCCAAAACTTGTCTTGAGAGGCGGTGGTCGGGTGGTCAGGCTCTCTGACTTGGTTGATGCATATCATCGAGCCCAGTTGCGTGGATCAATGCTCATGGTGTCAATCACTGGATTGTCTGGTCCAGACTCGATTATTTACAGACTGCCGTCATATAGCTGGAATATTGCACTGTGAGCAACGCCCCGAATTATCGGGTATGACAGCCTCTGTGGTCTAGTGGTAGAGCGTCCGATCCGACAACATGAACGTCGGAGATATTGTCACGAAACACAAATACATTGCCTATATATAGTTTACTAGCGCTGTTGGTGTTATTCATGGAATTGATTTCATTGATCGTTTTAAGGGAAGTAACTCTCAGCTTGCACTGTCATCAATACATTACGAGCAGCGTGCTTCATATAGTTCTGGCTACACGATACTGAATGGAACACAAGGGCACGTGTTGTATAATTTGTATTGAGCTCTGCAGAGTATTTACGCCCAAATGTGGATGTTATGCTTGGTTTGTGAAATATATGTTACTGGCCGATACACATACAGTGTTAGTTTTCCTTTCACTTTCGATTCCAAGAAATGAAATGGGAAAGACTTCCCTGAAGTACTGGGGATTCCCCTCCTGTCCAAATCAAGGCCGTTGTTAACGGCTGTGTTTGTCTGCTTGACAATAGCTGATCATTACGATCACAAAGAGATCCGCTCGGACATAACAGTACACCATGTAAAAGCACACAGGTAAGTTTTCATTTCATGGTTAAGTTTCCAGTGAGAAATATCGTCCTTTCACAAATACCATGAAACACAGTGTTTTGAGAATGTTCATTGACTAGGTCAATAGGACTTATATCTTGTCATTGGCAAGTGCTGACACGATTTGGTTTCCTGACGTTATGACTGGTTGTAGATCAATACTTTCTTCTGTTTTCGAACAAAAAATGTCTCCTGACAGGAAGAAAACAAGAAACGTTTTGTGTTAAAGAATACTCTGTAAATAATGAAATAGTGAAGATCAGTAATTATATTATACAGCTAAAATATGACCAATTGTTTGTAATGATAAAATGATATTTTTCAAGCATTTAAACACGGTAGGCTTATCATCACTCTACAAACTTCAAGGAGATTAGACACCTCACCGAGGAAACACGTACATGTACACGTGATTGTTACATTTCTTGGAACAGGGTAGACTAGTCCATTGGGGTGAAAAGGGTAGACCGATTCATGGTATGAAATGTGTAGACTCATCCATGGGTGTGGAACGGGTAGACCCTTCCATGCATTTGAAATGGTGAAACCTACCAACTCCAGCAACCCATGCTTGCCGTAAAAGGCGACTAACGGGATCGGGTGGTCAGGCTCGCTGATTTGGTTGATGCATGTCATCGCATCCCAATTGCGTGGATCGATGCTCATGATGTCAATCACTGGATTGTCTGGTCCAGACTCAACTATTTACAGACCGCCGTCATATAGGTGGAATATTGCTGAGTGCGGCGTTAAACAACAAACAAACAAACAAATGTTCTGTACACATTCCCATAGTCCCTTCTCAAAGTGGACTCTGACAATTGTTACCTTATTCTGAACATGATAGCCGTCTTACCATGAGAACAGCGTCCCTCCCTCGATAATCATACAACACAGGTATGGGCTCATAGTCCATATATATTGTATGCCCATGCTTGCCGTAAAAGGCGACTATGCTTGTCGTAAGAGGCGACTAGCGGGATCGGGTGGTCAGGCTCGCTGACTTGGTTAAAGCACGTCATCGATCCCAATTGTGTGGATCGATGCTCATGATTTTAATCACTTGATTGCCTGATCCAGACTCGATTATTTACAGACCGCCGTCATATAGCTGGAATATTGCTGAGTGCGGCGTAAAACAACAAACCAACCAACTCTTAATAGATAATAAGAACACGGAGCTGTGCTCCAGGGTGTCATTGGGTATGAATAAAGCAAAAATGAAAACGTGGTAAAAGGTTCACAGCTTTATTACAAGCAGATAATTGTATCAATAGACGACACTATGAAGCATCAAAGACCCATTTCACACTGGCAATGATCACTGATGAATTAAATCAGAGCAAATATACAAGCTGATTAGCTAAGCAACTGTATAAAAACAGAGGGCCTATCCCTCAAATACGTCTCTTGGACCATAAAATAGATGAAAAACGCCTGAATAGCGAACTAGTCTTTTAGACTTATGACTCACTTATTCACTTTTACTGGGCAAGCAAATACTAAACTTCCCAAATATACAAGGTACTTGACCTACGGAGTATCTAGACTCACAATCATTAAAAGGTCCCTGACCAAAGGAGTAACTTGACTCCCAATAGTAAATAGGTTCTTGACCTAAACGAGACAATCATGGGAAAGTTGGTTATCAACGGATTGCTAAAAAAGCGGCGTATAAAAAAAACCTAGCTAATAAGCTTAGCTCAATACAACCAGAGTAAGTCCCGTAATTACTTACGAACGAAACCTGAGTTTCGAATGACCACCCAGTAGCAAGAAGACCCCTCAACGGTCTAGCGGAGCCTGCCGGTAAAGACACATGGTTTTGACAAGGGTTTTAACCCGTGTGCGCGGACGTCTGAGAGGTCAACCTGTCCTAGTCAGCTGGGGAATTGCTATAACCAGTGGACCCATGAAGATGCGAGGCAGAATAGGTCTTCAGCAACCCATGCTTGCCGTAAAAGGCGACTATGTTTGTCGTAAGAGGCGACTAACGGGATCGGGTGGTCAGGCTCTCTGACTTGGTTGATGCATGTCATCGGTCCCAATTGCGTGGATCGATGCTCATGATATTAATCACCGGATTGTCTGGTCCAGACTCGATTATTTACAGATCGGCGTCATATAGCTGGACTATTGCTGAGTGCGGCGTTAAACAACAAACCAACAAACCAACCAATAGCTACTGAGGAAATCAGAGTGTGTTTCCTAACTTAGGGAAAAGCCGAATAGCACATTAATTAACTATCAAACCAATACGAGATGTAAAAAGTAAGATAAAGCGCTGAACATAAGCTACCCAACAGTACAACTAATATGTACAATTATTGAGGTGGCAAAAATGACCATTAATACAAGAGAAATATCTACTAGTATCAGATTATCCCTCTACTGCGAGAAAATCAATGTTACTAAAACATCTTCCATTCACGAATAAGGTCACAAACATAAGAGACAACATGTATCAAATATATACATGTTAAAAGAGTGTGATTAAACCGCTTGAGAATAAAATGTACGGGTCACTAATAGGCCAACAATGAATGTGAAGACACTGGATAACGACGACAGCCGGAGTTTGCCGAATCGTGACGGAAGCCTGACCATAAAGAGAGAGTGTAGCGAACACAAGACCGTGACTCGACTGGTTTTAAATATAGATTAAGTGTCCATAGTTTTACGATCCAAAAGCATCAACACGGTGACAACATCAACACGACGGCAATCTATTTCTTCCTCAAAATAAATTTACAAAAACTGTTCTAACGCGTCATTTGAACTTTATGTTGGAGGAAAGCCCGTATTACCGCAGGTCTAGACATTCCATGTTCATGTGATAAACACATTGAGTGACTTTCGTAAAATTAATGCAGCTCTTAGACGTTACATGTTCATGTGATAAACCCATTGAGTGACTTTCGAATAATTAATGCAGGTCTTTGACGTTACATGTTCATGTGAAAAACCCATTGAGTGACTTTCGTGTAATTAATGCAGTTCTTAGACGTTACATGTTCATGTGAAAAACCTATTGAGTGACTTTCGTATAATTAATGCAGGTCTTTGACGTTACATGTACATGTGAGAAACCCATTGAGTGACTTTCGAATAATTAATGCAGGTCTTAGACGTTACATGTTCATGTGAAAAACCCATTGAGTGACTTTCGTGTAATTAATGCAGGTCTTAGACGCTACATGTTCATGTGAAAAACCCATTGAGTGACTTTCGTGTAATTAATGCAGGTCTTTGACGTTACATGTTCATGTGAAAAACCCATTGAGGGACTTTGGTATAAGCTCAAGGTCACCGTGACCTGGTTTGACTGATGTTGAGGGTTTCTTTATGAAATATGCATTAAAAACAAAAAGGGCCTGCTTGATTCCCACTGCAGATCCATACAGGATTGTGGTCATCCTAGTGGTCATCCCAGTGGTCAACCTAAACCAACAGTGATGTCACAAGCGGGCATGTTTGTTTGTTTTGTTTGCTTGTTGTTTAACGCCGCACGCAGCAATATTCCAGCTATATGGCGTCGGTATGTCAATAATATAGTCAGGACCGGACAACCTAGGGATTGACATCATGAGCATCGATCCACGCAATTGGCATACGATGACATACATCAACCAAGTCAGCAAGCCTGACCACCCGACCCCGTTAGTCGCCTCTTACGACAAGCATAGTCGCCTTTTTACGGCAAGCATGGGTTGCTGAAGACCTATTTTACTCCGGGTCAAGCGGGAATAATTGTATTTCGTATGATTGATACATGTACATTAAGCCACACTAATTAAACTTCATTTGCGTATTCAGCTGCATGGCGAGTGCATCGTCCATCAATGGATTTGTTCCCCGTGTGTGTGGTGTGCAGAACCGCCTTCAAGTACAGAGGATCACAGCCACACCTGCTTCCCTGTCTACATCCTGTATGCGAGTACTGTCTTGAATCAACAGTTATAACAACTCTGCGTTGCTCTGCCTGCATGGCAAGTCACGACCGGGATGGTACGAACTTTCCCCTGGACGAGATCGTCCTAGCGGAGGTGTTCCATGAGACGGCCAAGCATCACCCCGCATCCTTGCTGTGCAGCAATAAAGAGGACGGGAGACAGGCTGTGTGTTGGTGTGAGGGGTGTGGCAACTTCCTCTGTGAACACTGCGAGAGGTCCCACGAAGAGGTCAAAGCAGCCAGACACCACAAGATGCAGTCGATATCCGATCTATCAGTCACAGGAACAGGATCACAAACTGAGTGTGAGAAACACGGTCAGCGACTTGATATCTATGATAACGACTGCGACCGTTTCATATGTCCCCAATGTTTCTACGAAGACCACGTCGGCCACTGTACCACTCGTGCCGACACATTCCTGGAAGATCAAAAGGAACATCTGAGCAATCACATGAAAGCCATTTCTGATAAGATGGAAAACATAGCAATGGCAAACACGAACGTCGATAAGCAAGAAAGAGTTATTGAACAAAAAGCTACGTCCCTTCGGGAAATCATGAAGCACACCTTCTCCGATTTGAGAACTGTGCTAGATCAGCGAGAGAAGGAGATGCTTGTCGAGTTGGATCAGCTTCTGGACTCCATGAGGAACATCAATGACAGCCGACGTCCTGTCCTGAAGTCATCAGAGACTATTTGTCAGTCACTCCTTGACTACATCAACAAGACTCTCCACTATGCCTCACCTTCCCACCTCCACAATCTAAAGAGTTCCATCACACAGGCCTGTGAGTCTTGTGAACGTGATGAAGTTCCAAACGTTCACAGACTCGAGTCGTCTGTTGTCTTCTCAAAGCAGAGCCTGCGCGATTTGTTGTCATCAGTTTCATCTTTTGGGAGCTTCCTGACTCCAATAGGAGAGGCGGATCAAGTGGATGAATTTACCCCGCTTGATTCAGGTATTTGTTTACAACCTGGTACTTTGTTAATGTTCAGGAGGGGCGGTGGGGTAGCCTAGTGGTTAAAGCGTTCGCTCGTCACGCCGAGGACCCGGGTTCGATTCCCGACATGGGTACATTGTGTGAAGCCCATTTCTGGTGTCCCTCGCCGTGATATTGCTGGAATATTGCTAAAAGCGGCGTAAAACCATACTCTCTCACTCACTAATGTTCAGGAACCAACTCCCGAATTTGACTGAGGGTAAACTAACAATACAAAAAATTGGCCATATACTTTTTGCTTTTTCGTCATATTTGTTAGCAGGGCATTTGGTTACTGAATGTTGACTAAAAGCTGATGGTCTTTCTTTCCTACTTAGAGGCGTTGGGTATTACCGAACAAGCGATTTGGCGGAACATGAATTGTACAATTGACTCTGCTTCTTGGAGAGGGTCTTATGATTATGGAAAGGGATTTATCACTTTTATTAATTCATTTCCTCACATTATGACTTTGCTGATGTTCTAATCATGAACGGGTATTTACTTTATTCAGCTGGTAAATACAGCACAGCCTGGCAAAGATGAATGAATCTGACTGTTCTTTGTTTTTCTGCAGTTTGTGAGATGACACTCAAGTCAACTATTGCAAAACTTCAAACACAAAGGAAAGATGCAGAAGAGGTACATTTGCAAGTATATTCATAAAACTTTGTTTCTGGTCTTATATATCATATTTCATGATCTTAGGAAATGACACACTTGACTGATTAAAGTATTTTAGTACTCATAAGTATTCGGAGTGGAGAATACAATGTTTTGGGTTAATGAAGCATTGACAGAATGAGGTTCTACAATGCTCAAATTAATAGGCAAGTGTATTTGAGAAAGTCAGCGGTTAGGTAACAATATCATATCAAATACAAAGTGTGAACGTGACCAGTATATACTCAATGGGTATTGACAAATACGGAAATTCTACTTGATTTGTTGGAAAAGACGAATTATTCATGTTTTAACATGTATATTGCCACAGTGTTGTTTTTCTGTAGCAAATAGAAGCACTGAGAGGCAACATCAAGCAGCTCAGGGGGGAAATGAGCCGACTGCGCAGGACTATTGTCAGTTTAGACAATAAAGGTAATTATTTAAGATGTTGGTCATGCAGACTCGCTGACTTGGTTGACGCATGGCATCGTATCCCAATTGCGTGGATCGATGCTCATAATATCAGTCACCGAATTGTTTGGTCCAGCCTCGATTATTTTACAGACCGCTGTCATATAGCTGGAATTTTGCTGAGTGCGGCGTTTAACAACAAACAAAAAAACAAACAAACAAACAAACAAATCATACAGTTACAATGTTCCCATTCATGTTATTTCTACGAAAAGAAACTATGGTAATTGCTGTCCAGCCCTCAATGGCACATAGCCATAGACAGGTCGCACGATGGATTACATGTTTGTCGAAAACACGATGTTTTTACATTCAGATAATGCCACACATTTGATCATTTAGATTTGCAGTAGATAACTCCATGTTCCGTTCTAGTGATACACTGGGTAGAATCAGCAAAGAATCCCGTTCAACCAGTGGTTTGATATTCAGTGGGCAACTATTTTGTTTTCAGCACTCAACGGCAACACGTGCCTGTATGTGCTCGAGAGCAGCCGGGACAGTACCATTGCTGCTATCGAATGTAAGAAAATCTATGATGTTATATGTTCAATGAGGTAGTTTTTAAGCCGTATTTCGGGGCGGTGTGGTAGTCTAGTGGTTAAAGCGTTCGCTCGTCACGCCTAAGATCCGGTTTCGATTCCCCCCATTGGTACAATGTGTGAAGCCCATTTCTGGTCTCCCCCCCTCCCCGCAATGTCATTGCTGAAATATTGCTAAAAGCGGCGTAAAACCATACTCACTCACTCACTCACTCAAGACGACCTCCAATAACACCCTGTCGTTAATGTGAGAAGAAAGCCAAAAGTTAAGTATGTCGTAGACTTTTCAATAATTGTAAACCCACTGGAACAGGCCTGGTGCTAGCAAACCAAGGACGATTGATTCGAACCCACAACCAGCGGATCCTGTAACGTTACGGAGGGTAACTCCTTACGGCGGATGAAGAGATGTACTACTGAGATTCCCATGTCATCTGATACACAGTATATGTTATACGTCTGGAGCTATCTCTATGTATTTGTGGGATAGACTTATTTTCCCATTTGTGATTCCATTCAATTTTGGATCGAATGCATGATACATGGTTATTAGATATTTGTAACTATATCAAAAACATCTTAGAAGAAGTGAGATGGACCCGTGAAGAGCCGGGGTAGAATAGCTCTACAGCAACCCATGCTTGCCGTAAAAGGCAACTATGCTGCTTGTCGTAAGAGGCGACTACCGGGATCAGGTGGTCAGGCTCGCTGACTTGGTTGATGCATGTCATCGATCCCAAATGCGTGGATCGATGCTCATGATATCAATCACTGGATTGTCTGGTCCAGACTGTGTGATGTATCAGATGTAGCTGCTGTGTAAAGACTATAATCCATACAGTGATTCAGTAAGCAGCAATTATTTACAGACCGCCGTCATATAGGTGGAATATTGCTGAGTGCGGCGTTAAACAACAAACTAACAAAGAAACAAAGTGAGATGTCATTGACTAGCGATGAACATTTTGTACTAAAGTACGTTTAGGATGAGGACTTCTATTTGCTAGATATCATTTTCAACAATGAAACGCCATAGTGTCAACGAATTATTCTTCTGCTATACACTGCAAGACTCGTCACATGTGTGGTCATATTGCAACAATGTATTTCTCACATGCAGGCCCAAATATGGTGTTTGACTCAGAGAGGGTTAACCTGCAGGTGGTACACATCGATAACCAGATCCTCATCAACAGGAGAAACTGGTCATTCATGGGCCGGAGTGGGCAGCAAATGTGGAAGAATTACAGTGGTACCAGCAGCACCTCCCCACTGCCCTCTAGCGGCCTGGTGTACTGGGAGGTGGAGGCGGAGGCGGAACTGGACAAGCCACTGGGTGAAGGGAGCCTTGTGCTGGAGGTCGGCCTGTGTGGAGAGGAGGTCATGGACAGTTCAGCCAATATAATTGGCCAGCCATCCTCGTCTAGTCTCCTGATTAGCGTCAGCGACAATCGCAGCACTATTGGAATGTATCTTACAGTGAGTGGACATACGTTAGCCTTCATAGATGACGTGTTTAACAATGATGCGGGCATGCATGTCAAACTAAAGTACGGAGTTCTCATTGACATTGATGAAATGAAAATATGCTACATCGACATCACCAAACGGGAGATTTTGGGATGCGGACATTTGGAAAAGATGAGTTCTGGTACTGAACTATGGCCGATATTTGGGGTTTATGATGGACCCAGGAGAGTTGCCATGAAGCTTGTCAGTGGCCAGGAGATCATTATGGAGGTCTGGAAGAAGGAGCTCCTTCAGAGAGCTTCCAGCCAGTGATACGACGAAACTGTTGTTCACCTCGTTTTGTCTATGTGGACACCTTCACATAACAACTGTAGCAGATATGTACATACGACTTCCAAAGTGTTTCGAGTTGAGTTCAGTTGAAACAAATGTACATTTTATGTAATTAATAACCAGTCGCTGTGGCGATCCGGGGTAGAATAGGTCTTCAGCAACCCACGCTTGCCGTAAAACGGCGACTACGCTTGTCGTAAGAGCCGACTGACGGGATCGGGTGGTCAGGCGCTTTGACTTGGTTGATGCATGTCTTCGTATCCCAAATGCGTGGATCGATGCTCATGATATCAATCACTGGATTGTCTGGTTCAGACTCGATTATTTACAGAAAGCCGTCATATGGCTAGAATATTGCTGAGTGCGGCGTTAAACAACAAACAAACAAACAAACAAGCCAAAAACATTTTATGTAATGGGTGACCAGTCTTTTTTCATGTCATTATATTTCCCTTGCAGATATGACGGTGGTTTCTGATATGAAAATAATGTTACATTCATTGACGTGTATAAAGCTAGATTAGATTGTATTACAGTAACAACACGTGATGTTCTACAGAAATTTGAATATTGTATACACTATAGCTTTATATTCCCATCATATGGATGAGTACAGAAACGTATTATTGTGATACCCAGTAAATACTGTCTGGGGAACCAGGTTAGAATAGGTCCACATTACTATTGTTTGTCGTATATAGGCGACAAAATGGATTGGACAGTCAGGCTCGATGCCTGTTTGAGTACCATCCCGCGAAGATCCGGGGTAGAATAGGTCTTCAGCAACCCATGCTTGCCGTAAAAGGCGACTATGCTTGTCTTAAGAGGGGACGAACGGGATCGGGTCGTCAGGCTCGCTGACTTGGTTGATGCATGTCTTCGTATCCCAAATGCGTGGATCGATGCTCATGATGTCAATCACTGGATTGTGTGGTCCAGACTCGATTATTTACAGACCGCTGTCATATAGCTGGAATATTGCTGAGTGCGGCGTAAAACAAACAAACAAACAAACAAACAAACAAACAAACAAACCATTGTGCCCGACTATGTGTGAGGTTGCTCAATATAATAACCACTGGTCTGTATGCCTGACCGTCCGTCCAAGAATTTGATTATAATAATTCCATTTATGATGCGCCATTCCATACCCCGGTCAATGGATCACTGTGCATTCGATGTTCATTCTCAGCTCCTAGGGGAGTATACAACCCAAGCTGCATGTGAGGCATTGGAAGGGTAACAGTCACATTACCATCTCATCCTACCGTGAAGGCACTCTCGAACAGTCACTTGCCAAAAGGAGACACCTCCTTTACCACGTGTGCTTCAGTGTGGGGCAGGGCCGAAGTCCTAGACACCCTCAGAGCTGCCGAAAACGGCCACCCATTCAATTATACTTATTGTTACCCTGTCTGACACTCAGCATTAAGGGACTAAAACAAGGACTGGTCGGCTCGGAGTCAGTATACTGTGTCTGAGTGGGGTATTCATGTTAAACTGCGGCATGGTATCTCAGTGGGCTAGCACTATAAATCGGCATCAGTCCGGACTAGTACAAGCAGCCACACACACAGACACACACACGCATGCGGGTCGCTATGTAAGTGCAATAATCTTGAACGCGACGTTAACCCCCATTTCACCTCACCTCACCTATTGCTGAAATATTGCTGACCGTGGCGTCAAACAACTTTCACTCACTCTCATTGTTCGTCACTTTATGGGGGGCACGGGTGGCCCAGTCGTCTAAGGCGCCGCGATTCGCTGTGCAGAGTTGCGTCCCTTGGGCACGCCAGAAACCTATGATTGTGGGTTCGAATCCCGGTTCGCCCCGATTATGTTTCTAGGTTTGTCAGCACCATACCCGTGCTCGTGGGTTTCACCGAAGTGGTAAACGTCTGAGACCTGCATCACTTCGGGCTTTCCTCCCACATTAAGCTGACACGCCTCGATATAACTGGAATACTGTTAAAAGCGGCGTAAAACCCAACTCACTCACTCACTCACTTTATGGTTTAGTTCCTAATTAGTGTATTCCCGGGCCACGTGGTTGTGAGTAAGAACAAGTACCGTATTCGACGTAATAAGCGCCCACGGCGATATTTGCTAATATATTGGCTTGTGAACAATCCCAATTAGCACCCCTTCCGATTGATCAATGTACACAAGATTTATTTTTTCGCGTATAATACGCACTCGTGTGTTATATGCCCCCTTAATTATTGGGAATTAAATTGTGGGAAAATATATCTGTCGTACATAAACATATCAGGCTGTCAGCATAAACCACGAAATTTATCTTTCAACTCTGTTTTTTTCACCAAAATAATATTCTAATAAGAGCCCCCTATTTCTCATTTTGAGAGCGCCCTGGGCGCTTATTACGTCGAATACGGTAATTCTTTTAACAAAATAGTAGTTGGAGTATGTGCACAGGTTGATAACGGTAGCTGATGCATGAGTGTTGATATATGCCGTGTATCTACGACCTCGTGTAGAGTGAGTGAGTGAGTATGGTTTTACGCCGCTTTTAGCAATATTCCAGCAATATCACGGCGGGGGACACCAGAAATGGGCTTCACACATTGTACCCATGTCGGGAATCGAACCCGGGTCTTCGGCGTGACGAGCGAACGCTTTAACCACTAGGCTACCCGACCGCCCCACCTCGTGTAGATGTTTGCTGGCCATGTGATGTATATATTACCATATCAAGTGTTAGTTTACTTCCACTTCCGCCTCAAAGGCATGGTATCAATAAAGCCTTTAATACCTTGAAGTTAGTCCTGCACCATGACTGTGGAATTTATGTTTTTTAGGTATTTTCTTTTACTAAAAGCCAAGTCAAGTCTAGATCAAACTAACCAAGCCTAGTTTGCTTGATTCCACAGCAGAAGAGGAAAGGTTCTTTCGAAGAAATTTATTTTCTCAAAGACATGTTTTCATTGACTAAGTATTAGTCTACCTTGAAGTACAGTAAACTACGGTTATAACGAACACGCTTATAACGAACTGACGGATATAACGAACTTACTTTTTGGTCCCGACTATTTGCTGTAGTTATGCTGTATATATGCTTATAACGAACTACGGTTATAACGAACTAAAATTAGTAGTCCCTTTGAGTTCGTTATAACCGTACTTTACTGTATATGTGCATTAATTTACAATAAACGCTACATGGCATCTCTTTGCTTTCAGTGAGATACATGCGATTTGTTTTGGGTTGGTTCTTCTTTTCCTTATTTCGAAACAGTTCATGGAAACATAATCGAGTTTGTTTATAGATTAGCTGTGAAAAAGTATTAACAATTTGAGAAAACAGGCATGTTCAGCTATTGAATAAAAGGAAGGGTAAAATAAACTAAGAACGAACAATTGTTCGCCACTACAAAGAGCTATGTCTTATTTGCCACATGGGTCTAGTCTGTTAAGCTAATGGTCGGTATCCCCGCTTTGATATGGTTGAAGTACGCCCGTGACGTAACAAGTACTCTCACCAAAAAAAGTGATTTATTTTGTACGCGTTGACACATTTTGATTTTACAACGCATCGTTTACTACAGCCGTTTATACGTTCTCTATAATAAGGGAGGTAACTCTAATAATCTAGCGCACTGTCCACGTCGAGGCTGTCATGTCGCCAGAAGATCTGCTGCTGTGTGGGTAGACCTCCCTGGAGCTGCTGTACAGGTAATAGGAATAACATTTTCCTCGTGTATGACGTACAAATATCATACTCTGTACTCACTGAGATACTGTCAGAGAAAATATATGTGTATACATACCTTGTTTCGTTAAAACCCTTTGTCCTCCTTTCGCTTTCGATTCCGAGAAATAGCAATTAACCACAGACAGTTAGGCTTGCGACCTGTTACGTCACTGTAGCCCTCCCTGTATTCCGTAATACTATAGCCATCCTCATACATTGCTGCTTACTGAATCACTGTATGGATTATAGTCTTTACACAGCGGATACATCACACAGTCTGGACCAGACGATCCAGTGATTGACATCATGCGCATCAGCGAGCCTGACCACCCGATCCCTTTAGTCGCCTTTTACGACTATGTCTGTCGTAAAAAGGCGACTAACGAGATCGGGTGGTCAGGCTCGCTGACTTGGTTGATGCATGTCATCGATCCCATTTTGGGTGGATCGATGCTCATGATGTCAATCACTGGATTATCTGGTCCAGACTCGATTATTTACAGACCGCCGTCATATAGGTGAAATATTGCTTAGTGCGGCGTAAAACAACAAATCAACCAACCACACAAGACAAGACCGCGCCCAAACACGGCAAACACCAACCAAGCCCCTGCAGGTTTTGAAATGACCCGCTGAACTGCAGTTAAACAGAATATGTTACGTCACTTTACGTGTCATTGCAACAAACTCCAATATGACGGCGGCCTGTAAATATAGAGTCTGGACTAGACAATCCAGTGATTGACATCATGAGCATCGATCCACGCATAAGCAACGGAGTTTCCCTGTTACTTGGTGGGTCATAGCCAGTGTACACATCCTTTAAAATGTATATATGGTACTTATTTCAAGTTATTTTTGCAAGAATATTCCTCTAAGACTAAATAAGTTATTCTGTTTGTTTTACATCCTTCTGATTTTTGTGAGTTTCAATCTCAATCTAAGGACTGGAACCACAACCCAGGATTCACAGGTAAGACAAGAACTTTAGATCATGAAAAGAGACATCAATGAAAATATTGCATAATACAACAAAACAGATATATTCCATAATGAGGTAGCATGGGTATTGATGCACACAATTACTGTGTACAACGGTTGTTATAAATTAGCGCGAAGGAAATATTTGTGTTGAAGTCATAACAGCTGCAATTTCCGAACAGCTGATCACCCGCAGCGTTTGTCAACAATAGAGATGGAACAACCTAACACTGAGCATAAAATGGGCAGAAACAAACAGCTCAGACAATTGTTAATAAATTCGTATTTTGATGTTGAAGGTGTTTCTGTTGATTTGATTGGTGTATTTGCTGCCCCTTAGACCCGTTCATTTTTCAACAAACTTTTATACAATGTATAAACTTCATCTTTTGACGACTTTTGACCGGAACTACTTTTCATGGGGAATCCCCGAGTTGAACATTTCTCTGCTGTCTCGTTTCCCTGCTTATACCACGGTCTTGAGGATCGGCAATATTGGACATTAAATTACCATTCCTTTTTTACATAATGTTTCATAAATACACTTATTTACATATTAACCCATGGATGCCAGAGGGGCATATATATCGCACGTTGAAGACGAAACAAAATCACGTTCACAAATACATGTACACTGGAATTTTTTTTCACTTCTGTGGGAAATTCCATGTTCTGGTTATCCTCCCCTGAAAATGACCTCTGAAAACTAAATCACCATTTCGCAGTTATTTTGTGTATGTTTTGAAATCAAAATATAGGGTATTTATTCTGAGAATTGCATTTCAAATAAAGCATATTATCAGTGTGCTAATCACGGGTATCTGTTTTTTTTTATCAAATCACCTGTGAACTTTTGAAACGTCACCGACAACTCTAGAATCGATTAGAATGTTTTAGAAAATATGTAAACACAAAAGCCGAAGTGAACTTTCCGCCATATTGGATAGCGTTAACAAAATCCCGTTTCACGTATGCCTTACGCAATGTTTGGCCCCCACTCTATGAAGGTTCATACTTCAATGAACTCACACAAAGTGAAAGTCAATTCTTAAATGTTCAAATGCATGATTTGGTGCCGCATCAGAGGTCTTGGCATTGACGTAACACCAGTGACTTTAAACCAGTAACGATATATCCTACTACCGCTCTCGAGGGCTACGGTGTCATAACCCGGCAGTTTGGTCTAGAGAGCTATTATGTACTGAAGGTTAAGCCTACCCCACTGCCAATTGTATAATACAAGGTGATAAAACATATACACAGGAAGAATAATCCGCTCACTTGTATATATAAACAGTTAACACGTTTATCGCTTTAGAAACATATAAGATGCATCTAATATACAATTAGACCATCTCAAATTTCAAAACATATCCGCATTCTACCATGACGACAAGAGTTTGAAAACACTGCTCTCTTGGAAGGTTAGAGCAAACGGTGAGCAATCTTAGAACATATAAAAAAAAGTTCAAGAGAGCAATTATTTCACTGATAGATCAGCCTACCTTTCTGCCAATTGTATTATACAAGGTGATACATGTACACGGGAATAATAAACCGTTACTACTATATATAAACAGTTAACACGTTACTTTCAGAATGCATATACATTGTCCATGTAGGAATAATAACTGTGCTGATGGTTTGAAAAAAAGGTGCGCAAAAAGACATGGGAATGATTTGGTGAGTTTATGAAAGCACATACTGTAATGTAGTTTCAGGAGCTACGTGTACAGTTTAAAGTGACAAAACGTTGAATGTTGTCGTGTTTAACTATCTCAAGAACATGCCATTTGGGGTATGCCTTTAGATACATGTAATTACAATGCACGGCGAACGAACAAAGATTATACACCTATATCTATACACCAGATATATTTATGCACTTTCGCCTCACCTTTTGTGTATGTTATGTAAGGTCAAAAACGGTTAGGCGTAATAAATCTCAGCTGTGTTTGTAACAAAGCAAAACGTTGTCAGTTCTGGGTTCATGCAGTTGTAAATAGTACTGCCACCATTTGACAGTGAAGAACAATGGAAGAAAGTGAAGGTCCACAAGCTCGAAGTTCAGGTTGAAGATGGTCATTCTTAATTTGTGTCACTGTTCGTGTATTATTTCAAACCAACTGCTACTTAAGTACAACTTCAAAATAACAAAAATCAGGTTATTTACTAAAGTTTGTTGAAGAAATAAATGATATGAGTTCAGCATTTCTTCACACAATTTCTACAACCTGTCACCCCTACAATGGGAGATGTCATGTTTGTGTACAAGAAATGTCCTGTCCCGGTGATTTCCATGAAAGACGTGGTTGAGTCCATGCAGTACAAATATGAAATGGGTTGTGATGAAATAAAATATAATTTCATTTTTGAGTTATTTCATAAATTCTTTGTGAAAAGCTATGCATTTTGTAACGTTTAGTTTCAGCTAGTGACGAATATCAATAATGTATCACATAAATCTTATCTATTTCTAAAGCTATCAACCGCTCGGTTCCAAATTAAAATAAGCGGTATCTAACCTAGAGTTAATGTATCTCATATTTCTTTACACAATAGGTTTATCTACTAATTTATGGCTTTTTACAATTATGTACACTCAAGAATTTTCTTTGTGTGTAACTGCACCGTGACTATGCACTGTTTCCAGCAATTCTAAAAAAAAACATGTGACGTTTTGTAGTGAACACAACTTTTGTTATAATTTTTGAAAATACTCGATTGTGAGTGGTCAATCCGAGGTTTCAAATCTGTATGATCACTTCTGATTGAAACATCTGAGTTGATATTTCTATATCAGACTATGACGTCATATCACAATGAGTGATGAGACGTCAGAAATTTGCCATTCTGTGGAGAATGGAAATTTGTTTATTTTACGTGGAAACATTTTCTCGAGGCAAGGGAGTTAACTGACTATAAAGTTCAGTTTCCACCCTTGCCAAAATGGGCTGCAATTATGGAGTTATATTTTGTCTGGACTAACGAGGCTATGCATAGTCCAATCGCGTAGCAAAATCTACAACCGGTTCGCAAACTGCTGAGCAGATCTCGGTCGATTGCAGGATTTACAAAGCATGTGCACCGCCAACTCGTTGTCAACAGATATTTTCAAAATCTTTTCATGTTATGAATCTAGATGCTCACGTGATTTGATGTTCTTCTCGAAGTAAGACCCGTTTTATGACAGTACAGATCTTGATTATCAAACAGATCGTCTTGACTGGGCTCCGCCATTTTGTTTGAAGCAAATGCAAGTGATATGAGAGGTGGAATCTGATTGGTCAGTAGGAAGGACATAGAAGGGACATAACTCTTAATAGCCACTGGTTGCGCTACGATCGCGACCAGAGACGAGACCTGGAACTTACACCATAAGTGCGACATGGCAAACATTATAAGTAGCAGCATGTTCGATGTCTTGCCACCCTCGTATAGAAGGAGTACGTTGTGCAAATCATGTGAGCTGCAGGTGTGACCGGTAGGAAAGGGTAAGCATGCCCTGTCACACCTTCCTGTCACACCTGCAGCTCACCTGGTGTTATCACTGTTTACAGTTGTCGATTCATATAATTTTCCCAATTTTGCATTTGACATTTTATTTACGATTGGTCGCAATGAAAGAACATTTCTCTTCAGAATGGACCCATTCCCCGTGTGTGTGGTTTGCAGAACAGCCTTCAGGTACAGAGGAGCACAACCACACCTGCTTCCCTGTCTACATGCTGTATGCCAGGCCTGTCTCAAGTCACCTGAAGTCACAGCTCTGGACTGCTCTATCTGCTTGAAGAGTCATGACTTATGTGACACTGATAGACAGTTCCCCGTTGATGAGGTCGTCCTTGCTGAGGTCCTCTACCTGACCTCCAAACACTGACCAGCAGAGTTCCTGTGTACCAATGATGAGGATTGGAACCAAGCTGTGTGTTGGTGTGGGGAGTGTGGGGACTTCCTCTGTGAACACTGCCAGGTATCTCACTCAAAGATAAAAGCAACCAAGAACCACACGGTTCAATGGATGTCTGATATACCCCAGACAACCAAAAGATCACAACCTTTGTGTGAGAAACACAACCAACGAATGGACATCTACGACAATGATTGTGACTGTTTCATTTGTCCACGATGTTTTTACAATGACCATGCCAGTCACTCAACCAAGAAAGCTGATGAACTTCTGAAGAAGGAAGAAGATAATCTGAATGAGAACTTGGAGTCTTTATCAACAAAACAGGAAGAAATAGTTCGATCCTCAGACAAGGTAAATGAGCAAACTGAGAGTATTGGAAGGAAAGCTACATCCCTCCGAGAAACTGTTCAGCACACCTTTGCACAATTAAAAGCTTTGATAGATCAGCGAGAGAAGGAGGTTCTTGTGGAGCTAGATCAGCTTCTGGACTCCATGAGGAACATCAATGACAGTCGACGTCCATCCCTGAAGTCAACGGACACCAGTTGTCTGACAGTCATTGACTACATCAACAAGACTCTCCTCTATGCCTCACCATCCAACCTCCACAAACTGAAGAGTTCCATCGCACAGGCGTTTGAGTCTTGTGTGGGTGTTGACATTCCCACCGTTCACAAGTATGAATCGTCGGTGGCGTTCTCAAAGCAAGAAATGCAACATTTGAAATCATTAGTTTCATCATTCGGAAGTTTCATGGTTCCTGATGGCAATGGTGAAGAGGTTCCTGAGTTTACCCCGGTTTGTTTAGGTTAGTGGTACATGCTTTGAAGTCGACCATCAGCTAGAATTTAACTGCTTCCTATTCCTATTTCCTATTTTCGATTACAGAAAATAACAAGTACCCCGTGTCGATCAAGATAACTTAAATTATTAGATAGCTCGAATATTTAACATAGCAACTATTGAAAACTAAGGTAGTTTGAAAATTAGTGTAGTTTTTGAACACATGTTTCATGCTGTTATCACTCCAGTAATTTCACTGGAATAACCATAATGTCATAGTTATGAAATTAATACGCCAATATTACAAGAAATGCAATTTATCTGTTTTTGCAGCCACAAATACATCCATTAATTGTAATGGTAGTAAGATAGTGAAAAACTAAACTTGGCTTTGTCTGTGATGAACACTCAAGTCTCAAATTTGTATCTCAAAGTACAAATATATGTTAAGTGGTTGTAATTGTTATCAGCTGTTCTATATGTAGACAAAGTAAAATTGTGCTGTATTAAAAAACACAGCAAAATATATTTTTTATTAACAGCTCGTCAGATAAACCTTGAATCAACCATAGCCGAACTACAAACACAGAATACAGAAGCATCAAAGGTAAACTGAACAAGCTCGGTATTAGGCAAAGGCAACTTTCAAGCTAGGTATTGTGCATATTGAAACGTTCACGTTCATCAAAGGAAAAAAGGGTGGTCTTAGACTTATTCAGATTTCCGTCTAGTACCTGTTCAAGGATGTGTTGCTAAGGGTTTGAATACAAGTGGTGGAACCAGTGGTGATCTATGGTGGTGATGTTTGGGTTGTCCCAACAATCTGCTGTATTTCACCAAGATGTGTCTGTGTCATCCTTAGCGTCTTCCTACAATTGTACATGGGCTGATTGAATGTTAAATAGTTCGTCACCCAACGTGTTAAAGGGTGTTTAACCCAAGTAACTCCGTATTTTGCAACTATTAGAAGTTTTGTGACCTAAATGAATATACATTTTCAACAGGAAATTACAACTCTCAAATCCATGGTTTCAAACGGCAAAGTTCTGGTCAAGGAACTCGGGGCAGATGTGTCTAGGCTGAAACAGTTTGTTATTCAGTTGGATCCTGATGGTGAGATATTTTCTATTCCAGTTTTTATGCGTCTTCGTTTGTTTATGCTCCAGCTATGTAATGGCTATGTAACTAATCGAGTCCCGACAATCCAGTGATTGACATTACGCCGTCGCATGCTATCAGCCAGGCGGCCAATCCTAATCCGGAATCCCAAAGAGAGTCATCGGAATGTAGCATTCTAAGGGAACTGTCTTTAAGTTGTCAAATGTCTTGAGCGTCTAAAACACATATTCTTTAATCATCTCCTCACACGTGTTAAATGTTGATTCCTTGCATGGCGGTCAATTGAGAAGTTGAGCATGTTTCCAAACTCACACTCTCGCCATGCTCATGTTGATAACACCAACATACCTAACCCCCATTTCTTTTCCTCTACAACAAACATCTCTATATCAGAAACAAATTGCAATTACTTCTGGTGATCTCATTTTATGTTTCTGTGTACTAGGAGAAGGTGGCAACCTTTGAATCTAAAAGAGAAAGCTTTCACTATTACTCAAACCATTAAACCCTTTTATTTTGTTCTTTATATTGTAAGTGATCAGGCGTTATTATTTGCAGATCCTTAATTTTTCTGTTCATGAAGTCAATCACTGAGACTTTATTTCAGGACAAGAAAAGGACATGTTCCTTCACGTCATCAAACCAAGAAGTGGACGGAGAAGCGGTACACGTGTACATATTATTAAATGTGAGTATAATCAGTAAATATGTTTCCTTTGGTCAAACCAGAGACAAATTCGCTTTAATGTAGTTCAATCAACACCTTGGAATCTATGATATGGTACAGAATACTAGTATGTACGTTGCAAGGTACAAAATATGATAAAAGACGTTACTCGTTTTCGCCCTGCCTAGATCTTGACATTAAGGGGTTAGCAATGACTGGTTGGCTCGGAGCCAGTATACTGTCTGAGTGTTTCTTTTTGTTAAAACTGACCTCATGTTATTTTCGGTGGGCTAGCACGGTATAACTGATAATAACACTAACTAGTTCAAGTAACTATAGATGTACGTACGCACGCACATGTACACACACGTGCATTCACGTCGCTATAATTAAATGCAACAATCTTGAACGCTACATTATATCCCATTTCACCTCCTAAAACTGTACGATAATAAAATTTGTGGAAGTAAACAATAGCAATGAATATCTGGTATCAGAATAATGATGCTATAATTATTTTAACGGACTGCCAACTTTTGTAGGTTTTTATATATAATCAGGTGTACTACAGAATCAGTGAAAATGTCTTTAGACATCATATCTGTGATAAAATTAAGTTATTATTTTGCATGAAGAGTAAACATTTATAGTTACTTCGGCAACGTTTCAGTAATAACACAACGACCGAAGATGTGTATGTCTAAGGCTGTTAAAACAAACACAATTATTTGTAATAGATGTCAAATCTATAAACATGATATTATTTTGTTTCACCCTATGATAGGTCCAACGATGATGTTTGATTCTGACAGAGTGAACCGAAACACAACACAAATCAATGACGAAGGCCTTCTCATCAACTCAACACATCCTAAGTTTAGAAGAGAGAAGGCAGTTGACACCAGTGGGAAGATGTTGAAGACCTACCAGGGTACCAGCAGCACCTCCCCACTGCCCTCTAGCGGCCTGGTGTACTGGGAGGTGGAGGCGGATGTGGAGCTGGACAAGCTGGGTGATCGGGAACTTGTGTTGGAGATGGGCGTGTGTGGAGAGGAGGTCATGGACAATTCCTTCTTTGTCGGCAACCAGCCCAATTCATCAAGTCTCTTTCTTATAGCTTATGAGCATTTGGGCGTGATTCAGTCTGTTGTCAGTAGCAACACACATCCTCACACGCGAATTGACACAGGCATCGACAATGAGGCTGGGACGATGTTCAAGGTACGATATGGAATTCTTGTCAATGTCGATGAAAGGAAAGTAACATACATTGACAATGAATTTCAACGCCGTTTGGGATATGCCAGCCTTGGTAATGTGAAGAAGGGTTCTACAATATGGCCACTGTTTGGGGTTTATGGTAATACCATAAGAGTTGCATTGAAGTTGGTGTGTGGCCAGGAGGTGCAGATGAACGATTGGAAGAAGGATTTGCTTGTGGAATAAAATTCATTTGAAGGCACACCAAATTAAGACAATGCTCCAATAATTTGAAACATTTGAGAAAATGTATGCTGGAAAGTTATCAAGCATGTCCATTGAATCTGCATGCCGATAATGTAACCATGTACCCAATGGAAAAAACGCCATAGATAACGTTCTTAGTGTGGGATTCAAATTCATGCATGAATTCTTTAGACTAGTCTTGGTTACATATCTGGCTGTTTCCATTCTCAACAGGATGTACAGCAGATTCATATTCTTCTGTTGTACGCCTATGCACTTAAAGCTTGAAATCTTATATCACACTCTGAACAAGGACAATGTTGGTTTTTCCTTTGTGTACCTGTGGATTATATGTAGGTCCTCACGTTTTAGCTAGCACAGTGAAAATGCTTTGGAACCTCAAATAAATCTATTTGCTTAGTGTATACAGAAAGATATTTAGTGAGTGAGTCAAGATTGTTTTCGGTTCATTGAGGTGTGAATCGAAAAACCGGTGTGCAAACTGTATGAATCCACGAAAACATGTTTTATCTACAATAGCTTAACCAAAAACAGTTGTATATATCAAAGCAGACAAAAATGACGAGATTGATAAACATTCCAGGTGTAAGAATACATACTGTGTCGTGATTTTTTTATTTATGCCCATAACTTGACACGCCTACAAAGTCAGTAGCCAATTAACGGATAGTAAGATCAAAACAATGATCAAAGGACGTGTCAATTAAGAGGCGAGAAGCAGTGTAACAATCCAGAACAAATATGTCCGGGAGAAGGTGGCTGTTTCAAATGACATGGTCAGTTACTGCCAGATTCAAACATGAGTTCCCTGAGAACGGGAAGACACAGTTGGAAAATGCGGGTAAGAAATGAAACCCGAAGACATGTAAGTTGTGCAACCGAGGCGAGCGGGAACAAAACCGGC